TAAGGGATGCTTGGGCTGTGTCTTAAAATAACGATGTCATAACGATAAAGCGGGCAAGAGAGTCCAGACGTTCTTTAACCACTTGCTTTTGACGCAATGGCTATCTTTGTTGTTGGCAATGTGAAGTCCACCAGCATGGCTGAACACCGGACAGCTTCATCAGGAAAAACTCTCTGTCCTTTGAGCCAGGGTCTTACTCTGTACCCCAGGCTCAAACTTGCCGTTCTTCTGCTTCAGCCTTCCTAGACCTGGTGCTAGGCTCACAGGGGAGCCACATGCCTGGCAAAGGAAAAGCTCCTTCAAAATGGCTTAACCCCAGATTCTCAGCTAGGGAGAGACCTTACTTCAGCCTCCATCCAGCATCACGAAAACTGCCATGACATCCATCCATGCTCCCAAGCCTTCAGAAAGCCATGCTTTATGTACTCAGAAAGCGTCAGTTTGTAACCAGGCTTTTTCTGACTAGTGTTTCACTGGACACTGCTGTTGGCAGAGAAGTGCAGGGCTTTGTGCAGAGAAAGTCCCTTGCATTCCATGCCCTTACACATGGTACTTATGCTGGCAGTTCCTCCCAGGGCAAAGATGCCCCATCAGAGGGACAGGGCAGCTCTCACAGCGCCCTAAGACCTGGGGCACAAGCCAGAGTCAGGGCAAGGAAGGCTGTTCTGAGTCTCTGTCTCACGCTCACTGCCTTCTCTCCTCTTTCTCCCTCTTCCCCTTCTCTTCATGCCTGCCCCCCATTCCTCTCTCTCACTCCCCCTCTCTTTCTCTCCCTCTCCTCCCACTTCACTGCCAGGCCCCACCAGAAATGATATTTCACCTACACCACATGCCTACAGAGGACTCTGCCTCTGGAAGTCTGAGGCATATGCTTGGCAAGTGACTCATAAGCTCAGCAGCACGGACGCCCTTAGCAGTGGTAGGCTGGAGGCATGTCCTAAAGCATATCTTGTTTTGTTTTGTTTCTGTTTTTTTGTTTGTTTGTTTGTTTTGTTTTTGTTTTTAAATATCCAAACAAGAAATAGGAACATAGGCAGAAAGGTACCTCTGACCTTTGACCTCTTTAGTGAGAGCAGAGAAGTCAAAGCACTTCTGCTTCACTCAGTGACTCAGTGAGGGAGGTGCTGAGGGCCTGTGGAAAGCCGGGCTCTACTTGTATGCCACTGCCTTAGGTGTGCAGAGTCAGGGGACAGTTCTGTGGTTGCCTGCCTAACTGTGAGACGACTCAGAGTCCAGGCCTGGTTTCTCACCCTTCTTTCGTGAGTCCCATACACAAGCTGGGCTGTGACCTTTTCCTCCTGCCTCAAGGTAGGAGGTTTTGAGCGAGAAACAAGAACAGAGGCTTGGGGATTCCAAGTCAGGAGAGAAGGAATGCTACTATTGCCTGTGACCTTTCTGCTTTTCCGGAACCTCCTCAGACCTGCACTTTCGTGTTTCCTCTGGACAAGCCATTATTTGGCTTGCTTTTCTACACCCCCAGCCAGCCACTGTGCCAGCTCTGTGTGGCTGTCACTCTGCTCTTATTCTTCCTTATGATGCCAGCAAATCTGCTCTGGTCACCCACGGTAGGACCGAATGTGGGAATGAGGTTCACTGTGGGCCTTGGAGACCTTGAAGACCCTCCGCTTCCTTAGTACAGTCTGGAAATTTAGGGGGAAACCCACAAACTATGCTCAGCTGAGCATTTTGCTGCAGGACCCACAGTGCTCGTGAGAGCTAGTGTGTGGCTGTGGTCCATCACAGGGAAAGGACACAGAGAGGAGACACATGCTACTGCATCCAGAGAGTCCAAGAGAGACATCCCACCTTCCTGTCTCAGTAGAGGTCTGGAAAGCTCCAACTTGTCCCAGGACACTATGTGGGGTACAGAGGCCTCAGCAGCTGTGAGGTCAGAGTTTTTCTGGGACTCACTCACTGGTTTTGTTGATGGGGACAGGGAGGGTGCTGATGGTGCCGGCCTTCTGAAGGCAGTGCTGGACTCTAATCACCCTGCTTCAGTTGCTAGCACAGTCCACTGGGTATGGTCCAAGGACCCCAGGAGATGCCGTAGTATATAAGGCAGGGCACTCTGATGGCCTAGAGGAACCAAGAGCAGAGCAAGGGCCTTCAGGTCAATCCTCTGACTCATCTGCTCCCGTGGCAGCTTCCTAGAGCTATCCAGGCCTCTTCTCTCAGTAGTGAGTGGGTAAGACAATTTGCACCTTGCTGGCTCCTTCCAAGGATTAAGTGGCAAAAGACTTGGTATGTGAAAGGCTTCAGCAAATCAGGGGTCCCTCCCTCCTGGTGCTCTTGTAACTCTGACCTAGTCTCCTAATCTGGACTGGGCCATCACTTCTCACTTCTGTTTGTTCTTGTCCTTGTCCCAATTTGCTTTTTATTTTTCTACCGGCAAGAGAGAATACTCTACATGCTGCAACTGGGTTTCCTTTTGAGAAGATTGGTGTTGTTGTGTTTCAGAAGCTACTTGCTGCTTCCCCGTATCCAGTCACTACCTTCCTATGGCCACACTCAGTGTCTCTGCATTTACACACCTCTGTAGGTTGTGCCCATGTTTGTGCAGGCCAGATTTTTTAAAAAATTATTATTTGTATTATTTTAAATTAGGATTAATTTAAAATAATGTGTGTTTGTGTGGGTGTGTGAGTATTTGTGTGTGTATTTGTGTGTATGTGTATGTTTGTGTGGGAGTGTGTTTGTGTGGGAGTGTGTTTGTGTGGGAGTGTGTTTGTGTGGG